CAGGAAGTGAGAGCTAATGCTCTATATTCTGCTTCAGCAGAAGACTTGCTAACAGTGGGTTGCTTCTTGGATTTCTAAGAAATAAGAGACTGGCCAAGAATAAATGCACAGCCAGTTGTGCTCTTTCTTGTATCAATGCAAGAAGCCCAATCACTGTCACTATAACCTTTGAGAATCAAACCTTTGAGAATCAAATCAGAAGATCTAAGAGTATACCTTGACCAGGTGTGGATTTCAAATATCTAAGTAGTGCAGCACTAAGATGTTGTTGATTAGGGCAAGATACAAACTGACTTAAAGTATGCACACTGAGATCAGGTCTAGTAATTGTTAAGTACAATAATCTACCAATTAATCTCCTATATGCAGATGCATCAACAGAATCAGTGCATGAAGAAGTAGATTTTGCAGACAACTTTAAGTTAGGATCCATAGGTGTAGAAGCAGGTTTGCATGCAAGGAAACCAGTGTCATGAAGTATATCTAAAGCATACTTTCTTTGACATAAATGAATACCATTAACAGATTGAGCCACTTCTATACCAAGAATATATTTCAAATTTCCTAAATCCTTTATAGTAAAACAGTCATCAATGTGTTTCTTAATCTTCACAATAGCATCAAGATTGTCCCCAGTCACAATAATATCATCAACATATACAAGCAATGCTAAATTAAAATCAGGAGAAGAATATATAAACAAAGAGCAGTCTGATGTGGATTGAGTAAAACCATAAGAAAGTAAACAACTAGTAAGTTTTTGAAACCATTGTCTGGAGGCTTGTTTAAGGCCATATAGACTTTTAGTGAGTTTACATACTCTAGTGTCAGAGGAAGGTAAATACCCAGGTGGAGGTGTCATATATACTGTTTCATCAAGATCACCATGTAGGAAAGCATTATTAACATCTAATTGATGAATGTGCCAATGTTTAATAGATGCAATAGCAAGAAGGACTCTGATAGTGGTTATTTTAGCTACTGGGCTGAAAGTGTCAAAATAATCTATTCCTTCTTCTTGAGTGTAGCATTTGGCCACTAACCTAGCCTTATACCTCTCAATTGAACCATCTGACTTATACTTTATTTTATATACCCACTTACAGCCAATGCAATGATGATCAGAAGGTAAATGAATTAATGAACTAATTCCCAAGTGTTTGTTTTCTCAAGAGCAGAAAGTTCTTTTTGCATTGCTTCTTCCCAAAGGGGGTTTGAAGCAGCTTGTTTATAAGTTTTTGGTTCATTGTTTTGAGTAATTGAAGCTGTAAAGCATGCATGATCAGCACCCAACATAGCAGTTGACAAATAAGAAGCAATAGGATATAATGTACCAAGTGTGTCTGAATGTGTTGCACTGAGGGCAGTAGATTTGTTGGTCAGAGGATGTGTGTAAATATCAAGGTAAGAAGGTGGATTTCTTGTTCTAGTAGATCTTTTGAGATGAGAAGAGGTAGATGTATTGTGTTGAGAAGGTGTGGATGTATTGGATTGAGAAGGTTGTATAAGAGATGAATCATCTTGAGGTTGAGGTGGATGTTGGGATGGAGCTTGAGATTGAGGGGGATGATTGATAAGTGGAGGTGGGTTAGGCTGAGGAGGTGCAATAGGTGTGGGTTCAGTTTGAATATATGGAGGAGGATGGCGGAAAAGCCTGTCAGAGTGATCAGAAAGAAAGGAAGTATGTTTAAAAGGCAACACATGTTCATAAAAGGACACATTTCTTGAAATTAATATGTTCTTGGTTTCCAAGTTGTAAAGTCTATACCCTTTACAACCAAGAGGATAACCAAGAAGAATGCATTTAAATGCCCTAGAATCAAATTTTGATCTATGTGCAGTCAAGGTGGATGCATAACATAAACAGCCAATTACTTTCAAATGATCAAGTGTAGGTTTCTGTGCATGTAACTTTTCAAATGGAGATATACCATTATGGATAGTAGAAGGCAACCTATTAATTTTTGAGTAGCAGTAGTAACACAATCAATCCAAAATTGCAAAGGAAGATGAGCATGAAAAAGAATAGCCCTAGCAACTTGAAGTAAATGTTGGTGTTTTTTTTCTACTCTACCATTCTGTTGAGGAGTCTCAACACATGAAGTCTGGTGAATAATGCCATTAGAAGAATAGAAATCAGATAGAAAGAATTCAGTACCATTATCAGTTCTAATGCATTTAATCTTCTTCTGAAACTGATTCAATATAAGTTGAAAGAAATGAGGCAGATAGATCTTCGTGTCAGATTTTTGTAATAAAGGGTAAATCCATGTAACTCTGCTGAAATCATCAACAATAGTTAAAAAATATTTGTGACCAGAGTGAGAAGGAGTAGAGAAAGGTCCCCAAACATCACAATGTATCAAATCAAAGGATTCAGATGCAATAGAGACACTATTTTGAAATGGTAATCTCTTCTGTCTTGAGAAATGACAAGTGTCACATGGCAAAGTTTCAAAGTTTTTACAATTCAGATGAATACAATCAGAAATAGTAGCAAGTTTATGAAAAGACAAGTGGCCTAGTCTATGATGCCACAATTCAGCAGGGGGTAGTACATTGGGGATAGAATCAGTTACAAGAGATGTATCAAAAGAAACAGCATTACAAGAAGCAATAGAAAAGTGATATAATCCATTGATAGCCTCATCAAAACCAATCATTTTGTTGGTTTGCTGGTCCTGCAAAGTGCAGTAAGATGACACAAACTTGACATAACAGTTATTGGAAGTAGTTAATTTGGAAACTAAAATTAAATTGAAAGTAAATGATGGAACATATAGAACATTTTGCAGCACAAGATTAGGTCCCAGATTAATCTGTCCCACATGGCATGCAAAAGTCTTATGTCCATTTGGTAAATTGATGGCAATAGACACAGGTGTTGGAGTAGAAGTGAAAAATGACATGTCACAGACCATATGGTCAGTGGCACCAGTGTCTAGAATACAGGTATGTTTTGAAAAACCATTTTGAGAATGACAATTAAGTGAAAAGGTACCTTGCTGTTCTATGTGAACAGTTGCAGCCATAGGGTTTGACTCAGCCTGAGCCATTCCCTGTTTAGTAACAAAGTTCTTTTTGTACTCTAAAAACTCAGAAAAAAATTGATCAGTCATGGAAGAAGGTTCAGTGGTGCTGGGTATTGTATGTGGTTGTGGAATTGGCAGAGTGTTTGGTGTTATTGTTTTGCATAGAAGGATGGATTCTAGGTCCCCTTGGACCAATCCAGTTGGGTGGATAGCCAATAACTTGGTAACATTTCTCAGTTTGATGATTATAACCACAATGTGCACATTTATGAATCAAAACTGAAGAAAACATAGAAATTTCATTGAAGATCGACAGATGTTCATACGGCTTGAGAGACAAGCTTACAGCCAAACAGAAGAAAGAAAAATCAGAAAATTGTAAAGTGCAAAAGTGAGAATCTGCAAACCCTAAAATGCTATTTATACTAAAGCCCTAACACTAAAGTTGCTAACAATAAAAGTGAGATAAAAGCGTGTTTTACATAATGTGAAATAAACTCAAATAGTACTTCTCAATTTTAACTTAACTCGACGAAGCACGAACGGAATAAAGAATTTTATATTAAGAGATCAAGATGTACAATGGGACGAAGATCATCGGCATTTGATTTATCAGCAGGTAATTAATATAATATATATGTATTAACATGACATATGGAAGTTATATAGTTATAAAAAAAATATTAGTAAAACTTTTTCTTTAAACTATTTATTTTAAATGAATATATCTTTTTATTTTTGAACATTTATATTGATTTATCTCAATGAAGGATGTATATTGACCTCGAAATGCAACTAAGATCAAAAGAAGATACAACGATTTAAATGCTCATCAAAAGAAAGAGTATATAGATAAAACTATTAAACGTCGCAAAGGCCAAAATATGGGTGTTGCATGTCTTGATACCGATAAAGTTTCATGTGGACCTGAAGGTTAGAAATACTTTGTCGTTTACGAAATATATACAAGTTTCATGTCTGATGTTTAATAGATATGGTTAGGGTCTTAACTCTTAAATCAATTTGTGATTTTCCTATATTGAAACAAATTTATATACTCAGATTTGGTTTTAATTTTAATAAACTATATTGTTCATGTATACTGCTGACTATTTAAATACATCCAGTGTACAATTTATGCATCAAAAACGGGATAAAAAACGGCTAATTCATATAGAGCCATTGAACATGAGCATTATCTTATGCCGATCTTTGAAAATAATAAAAAGGTACTCTTCTGAGTAACATTTTGCACTGGTATTATCTTTAAATAGACAAAATAATTACTCTAAGATTATATTTACAAAATTAGTTAGGCTGTCGGATATAATTAGTATAGAGAAATAAAGATGGGTAGTGGGATCAATTTTGTTTATTATTATTATTATTATTATTATTATTATTATTATTATTATTATTATTTTAATTTTTCCATGGTTGATGTATTGTTACTTTGAACAAATAAAAACCTTAATGATGTCTTCGGTATATGTGTTTGCAATTAAGTTTGATTCATCCATAAGTATAAATAATAAAATTTCCACTTAATGAAAAAAATTTGCATTTATCACTTTATGAAAAATGCATTAACATATTTTTAATTTATATTGTATTTAATATGATTTGATAGAGATATAGTATTATCAATACATTATTTTTATTGTACAGAGGGAATACAAATTAGGTCTTTCGTTCATTTATGTGGTTTAATAAATAATTAGTATCTTTCATTTTTTAGGTTCAATTATCAATGGGCGTTTATGTTTGGCTATATATGAGTTGAAAAAAATGCTCAATTACATACAGTGTGATGCTGTGAAATTTCAGTACGAGTGTCAAACATTTTGATGTGATAATGGAAAAGTCAAACTTGCTCCTATTGAGGTTCCCGACAAATTATATGAATTGTTCACTTCACAGACAGAAGAGGCAAAACAATTTCGGATAAACATTCTTCTATTTAACAACATGTTCTCTTTTACATCATTAGGGGTCAAATTAGATAAAGACCTTGCATCTGCAAAACAAGGAGTCTATACTTTTCGAGCTCAAGGAGTAGTGTACCATGACCTTCCTTGCTTATTACTTAAATATTTTCAGTTGTATTTTGTGGAAACTGAACGAGAGGTCGAGAATAGAATAAACATATTTCGAAACTCATCTTTATCTGAATGTACGGTTAACAAACTCATTAGCGTTTTGGAAGTAAACCCATATGCAAAAGGTTTTAGAAGATTGAAGGACTATCCATCAATGGATGAAGGATGCAAAATTAGACCAGTGCGTGTATAATTGTCCGACAACTGATCAAGTTGCAGCAATATGAGTTGAAGGAAATAATGTTAATATTCCATTTGAATGTGACATTGTTATCTATGCACATTCAGGTGATAGACACAGAATAAAACATTCTTTTGGATGTTATGATCCATTGCAATATCTCCTACTTTTTCCAAAGGGTGATGTTAGTTGGCATCAAAACATTTTGAAGTTAGCTGCTAACGAACACTATAGGCAGAAACAAGGTAAAATATCATTTTTTTTTTCTTATGTTAAGTACTTTGTATTTTATATATTGATCTCATTTTATTTTTTTTAAATTACGTTTTCAGGTCTCGGTGAAAATATTGCCAATATCTCATCAATCTCAACTTTTTCTTGTCCGAATGACATTCTTTCTCATGAATGCGAAGGTAAGAATTTTTTTTTTATTATGTAACATTCAAATTTTAATTTAAATGTACATATATTTAATTGGTTATATTTTTATATAATAATGTATTTTACATCCACTACATTATAATTTAATAAAAGAATCATTTAACTGATTTAATCATTTTTAGAAAATTATCGATAAGCTATAAGTGGTTTTAACATTACAGTAAATAACAACAAATCTGATTTCCTAATTTTTTTTATTCTCTATTATTTGGTTAATCTGTAATTGTTATTGTTAAAAATTATTATGGTAAATTATTTCTTAATTATTCATTGTACATTATTTACAGTTGTTGGAAAAGAAAGCCCTAAAAAAGTGTCATGCAGAGAATATAGCTGCTACAACCTACAAATAAGAAGTCCTAGAGAATCAACACTTCTCCTTGGTGAAAGGCTATTTCAACAGTATGTTGTTGACGTGAAGAGTGTTTCGAGCAAAATTACAAGATTTGAAGGACCAACTGTTTAAGAAGAATATATTTGGAGATGTAGCTGCACATGTTCACGTAATTGAATTTCAAAAAAGAGGACTACCACACTCTCATATGTTGATTATAATGAAGTCTGAGCATAAGAGGATTGCCATTGATGTGTTGTTTGGAATGTGTTTTCCGGGTAATGAACTCCGGTGAGCTTAAGTGGTGACTTGAGCTTAGGTTGAAAAAGTGTTGAGTAATGCCCTAAGGTTTTATAATGGTTTCAAAAATTTCAAATTCTTTCAAAAATTCGAGTATTTTACTTGAAAAATTATCGGGGCGTTACAACCGACATAAGTTTAACTGCAGATGACTACTTGAAAGCCATGTTTGTCACCTACTTTAAGAAAAAAATACAAGAAGTGAGGGCCTTTTTTCTTCTGCTTTTTTGTGTGGATCTTTGATCAGGGATACTGATTCTTTGTTTGGAGAGCAAACTGCTTGATTTACTTTTGATTACCATTTGCAGGTATGAACTTCTAGCAGATGAGGAAGAAGTTGACAAGTTGGCATGGTCTTTAGCCCCTAAAATTTTTGGCCATGAAGGTATCATATAAGCCCTTCTCCATCTTTTGGTTGGTGCTCCTCATAGGAAGTTAAAAGACGGAATGAAGGTAAATGCAACACCCTCCGTGTATGCTGCAAGCCTGCAACAGTTGCTCAACTAATGTGAACCCACAATTCAATGATGATTGTTGATGTGTAAAGTGCCTCAGTTAAAACTTGTATTTTGCAATACACTCCAGAGAGCTTTACATTGGATCTTCTTTCTTTATCTGCAGTAACCTATTTGTTTATTTCAGTGAAATGCAGATTAGAGGAGACCTACATATTTGTTTGATGGATTATCCGGGAAAATTGCAAAAAGTCAGTTTTTGAAGCATATACTCACGTTGCACCAGGAGGTGTGTACACAACGGGTAGAGGAAGCAGTCGAGTTGGTCTAACTGCAGTCGTTCAAAAGGATCCGGTAACAAATGAGATGTTTCTAGAAGGCAGAGCTTTGGTAAGAAAATGTTGTCATCCTTCACTTAAGTTTATCAATGGTAACGCAAGGACAATTATCTATAAAATGTAAATCACTCATTCCGTGGTTAGAGTCCCCTATCTATAAGATTGTCTACAGCTCACTGGACACTTCTTTATACTTGGAACAGGTTTTAGCTGACATGGGTATATATGTGCAATAGATGAATTTGACAAGATAGATGAATCTGATAGAACAGAAATACTTGAAGTAATGGAGCAGTAGACTGTTAGCATTGCAATAGCAGGGATCACAACATCTCTAATTTCCAGGACTCCAGTCCTTGCTGCTCTGAATCTTAAGAATTTGTCTTTATGCTTTAAAACACATACATCATTTAGAAATCATTGATCTTGTGCTTTATATTTATTTTCCCAGTTAATGTGTAAACATAATAGTGTCTTTTTTCCTTTCTTTTGGTCCTTTCTGAATGTTTAATATGTATTATTTTCTTAGGGGAAGTTATGACTTGCGAAGAACACCAGCCGAAAATGTCAACTTTCCTCCAGCCCTTTTATCAAGATTTGATCTTCTGGGGTTAATATTAGATAGAGCAGATATGGACACTGATCTTGAGTTGGCTAGACTTATTGTCTATGTCCACCAGAACAAAGAATCTCCTGCTCTTGGTTGGGTGTACTCCCCTCGAACCATTTGTACTCCTGTATGTTCACTTTCATAGTTGGGACGACGTGGTATTTTATAATTGTTTCAAGGGCCTATATATCTGCTGCAAGAAATCTATCTCCCAGTGTTTGGAGGAGTATATAGCTACTGCTTATTCCAGCATACGTCAACCATGGTACATTGTCATTGATCTTTTTCCCTACGGACTTCGAACCGTGAATTTGGAAAGGCATTTGGCCCATCACTTATTACACACCTCTAGATATACTATCATTCAGCATATAAGTTGGGTCTATTCTTTCTATGAGTGCTTAATCTTAGGACTTCCATTTGAGATGATGTTTTTGTGAAGTTTTTTATCATCGATTTTAGGAAATCTCAATTTTTGGATTGTACTTATTCTGAATTTTGTGTAGACTAAGTGAGCATTAGAAATGGATGAAAGCTAGCTGGTTATGGTTGTCAATAGGTCGACTGAAAAAAGGAATTTATCCAGTTCCTAACCTTACACATGAGAATAACAGCCACAAGTCAGTTGTCTGAAAGCGCTCTAGGTGTTTTAAGATATTATGAGTTAGGAAGAGGTATTGCGTTGGGATTTGGTTATGTGTTTGAACATCTGATAGATTGTACATTGTTAGACGCACAATACAATCTAATAATACTAATAATAATAAGAAAAACATCTTAAAACTATTACACAAAGAGCTTCTTCAACTATATCTCTTTCAACCTTAATAAGAAAGAAATTTGTTTCTTAATTAACTCTCTTACAATCACTTTAACTTCCACTAGGAAATCTACCTCCATAAATATTGGTGCCTCCCAAGCACGGTAAAACCTTTTTGCGAAATTCCTTGAAGGGCCAGTTAGGTCATTCTTCTGCTTGAATCGCCGACAACGTGTTGATGGGATTTACTTTGAAGTTTGATCTTAATGACGACTCTATTTTGATTGGTGATCTTCCATGCAGTACTGTCCTGGCCTGTCAGAAAGAACCATCGGTTTATATATATATATATATATATATATATATATATATATATATATATAGAGTCGCGCTCCGGTGAGAAAGGTGCTAAACGCGAGAAATGAGAATAATCCATGGCCACAAGATCATTAGGATTGGATGGACACGATACGAGCAGGTAAATCACTCACGCCCAAATAATAGCAGGGTAAGGTTGTAATTTCATCTGATACATTAAACGCGGGCTCATGGCTGCGGGTATCCATCCACAGCTGGGGGAAAATTCGCTCTCGTATGATAAAAGAAACCCCTAGCTCCGCAGATTCGAAAATTTCGATGGGAGATTCAAGCTGAAATTATTTGCAAAAGATCACATATTTCGAGGTTTCTGATCAAAATTTTGGACGCTCGAGTTCGAATTTTTAGCCATGGCACGAGCTGGTTTCCTTACCGTGACCGTTGTAAGCCAAAGCTCGATCGATTGTAAAACTCCGATACAACATACAAAGTCCGTTATCGTCAACCTCTCACTACATAGATCAGGTATGCTGAACATTAATCACAATTTGTAATGTATTTCAATTATTATTCAAATTTTCCAACCAGTTCGTAAATTGATTTTAGGGATCTAAATCTGCGGGACAATCAATCGAGCTAAAAGGAATCAGGATTTTTTTTCCTTTCACCGTGTTATATACAATCACTGTTGCAACATATGGAGTTGAACGACACCCAATCAGGTACAATATGAACTTTCTGACATTATTTGCTTGATAAGTGGATCCGGCAATTTAGTATCTGTCTTCATATTATTCAGTTGGACTAAAGTGCATAACTTAGATTATATAGTGCACTGTATTCAGCATAAATGTGCACTTTACTGATGTATCTATTTCCATCTTAACTCGTTTCAGGAGGAGCCCCGACTGACAAATCACAACACCATCAACTTTTGATATCACCGGGTGGCACTAAATATTGGATACCCCAATGCGAGGACGCACTGAAGCCTCACAATGGACAACGATTTAGAGCTTTGAGTGAAGCGGTCGAGTTCTACCAACTGTATGCTTCTACTGTAGGATTCGACGTTAGGCACAGCACGTTAGTGAAAGCACAACGAGATAAAACGATACTTTGGAAGTACTTGGTGTGCTCACGTGAAGGCTACAAACAACGCGTAAACACATGCCAACCGGTGCCAACCGAAAATCGAGTAAGAAGACGTAGAGTATCCAACCGGGTAGGATGTAACGCCCGAATTATGATACGATACAACGGACGTGACGGATATGTTGTTAAGTTTTTTGAGGAAAAACATAACCACACCATGATACCTGATGAGTGCAGATCACAGTTGAAGATCAATCGAAACATGACAGTCGCGCATCAAAGTTTTGTCCTCAATTGTATTAAAGCCAATATCGGGCCTATAAAGTCGTACAAGCTGTACAAGGAGATGGTTGGAGGGTATTCGAATATTGGTGCAACCAGTGTGGATTTTAAAAACTTCAAGAGGGAACTCCTTGCGTACATTGTAGGCGCCGATGCTCAGTTGGTGGTCGATAAGTTTTATAAACGACAAGAAAATAGCTCAGCCTTCTATTTCCACTATGAATTGGATGGTGATGACTGCTTACGAAGGCTTTTCTGGGCTGATCCAATATCGAGGCGAAACTACAGTTCTTTTGGAGATGTCATATCATTCGATGTAACCTACCGCACCAACAGGTAAAACCAATCTTGCACTGCTATGATATGCTTGCAACATAATGTCAAACAGAACACTTGTACATTATACAGACAATATGCGTTGTTGCTTATATTGGTATATCTTGTAGGTATAATATGGTTTTCACACCTTTTACTGGGATAGACAACCATGGCAAATGTGTGACGTTTGCAGCCGCCTTGATATCAAAAGAAGACGTGGCTTCATACGTGTGGGTGTTCGAGAACTTCAGAAACGCGATGATTCAAGAGCCCAACTACATAATCACCGACCAAGATCCCTCGATTGGAATTGCTTTCACCAAGGTATTCACTAGTACCAAGCATCGTTTTTGTACGTGGCATATAATGAACAAACTGTGTGATAAGGTCGGCCACGCTTTGAATAATGATATCAATTTCAAACGGAGAATTAATGAACTTGTCTGGAGTCGACTTATAGAACCTGTTGATTTTGAAACTAAATGGGCTTCTATTATGGAGGATTATTAATTGGACACCCATAGTTGGTTTAATGATCTATATGCTAAAAAAGAGCACTGGATACCGGCTTACTTTAGGGATGTTGGAATGAGTGGTTTGATGAGAACTACGTCGAGATCGGAAAGCGAGAATAATTGGTTTAATAATTTTACGAACAATCATTCTAGTTTGGTCGAATTCTTGTTACACTTCGATAGTGCAATGGACGCACAACGGAACACCTCGATGAAGTTGCAAAGCGATTGTGAAACCCATCTGGCCGAGCTAAAAACTCCGTTGCCAATTGAACAGTGTGCCTTAGCTGTGTACACAACGACGATATTCTATCGTGTGCAAAATGAAATTTGTGATGCGTGTTTCAAATGTCGACTTATGAAAATTTCTGAAAACGACGGTCGCATGGAGTTTACAATCGGTGACATTGGTGGGAAAACGTTTAATGTGATGCACAATGTGAGCCTGAACACATGTCAATGTTCCTGTAAGCATTTTGAGATGTATGGATGGTTGTGTAGGCATGCGTTTGTTGTTCTAAAGAATATGAACGTAGATATTATTCCACCCGCACACGTCATGTCAAGGTGGACAAAGCTCGCTATTAGCAACCCTATGTTCCGTATCCTCGACAGCATTTCTGAAGAATGTGCCCAGACGGACGAAAGGAAGACAATGGTTAATCAGTTGTGGTCCGACATACATATATGCATGGGTTTGGTCGAGAATCGCATGGACCATCTTGTTGAATTTTCCAAGATAGTTGGGGCACATAAGCGAAAACTCATGGAATTTCGGGAGAGTGGTTCAATCGAGTCGAGCAATAAAAAAAGAAGGCTTTGCAAGACATGCGGCGAGAGGGCGGGGCACAATACCCAGACATGCCCTAAAAAGCAGTAAATGTGTTACATCAGAGGTGCGTACCATTCAATTGGACCATTTAAAAATATAATTATATGTATAGTTATTATTATATTCAATTCCGGAACCAAAGATTGAATTACTGATATATTTTGACTATATTTAAGAAGCAGTATGTGGAAAAGTGGGAAAGTATGTTGGTGGTACATACATGTTGTTGGTATATACAGGGCTTGTATATTAAACTTACGTGTTACAATATTTTTTTACACATCATTCGCATCGCATATGCATCAATTGTGAATACTAATTGTCGCATATTTCATTAAGTGCAGGCCCGACATGCTGTGGGTGCGGACGTCCTTTATGAAGCGCAAGGATGTCACATTGATCTTGTTTATAGCACATATGCTCAAATATATTCCATGTCTGTTATCATTTTTTTTTTTTTTTTTTTTTTTTTTTTTTTTTTATTTTTTTGACATGGTGCCTTGTTGTTATTTCGTGTACGGGTATTATTACAGACAGGATATTATTACAGACGTGATCCATTTTTTATATTGTAGTTTTTAAGTTCATAAGTACTACCAATTGATGTGCACCATTTTAATGCATATGTATGATGTGCATAGTATTACATTAGTCAGCACACTTGCACAACAACACATGAGACATGCACATTATATCATGAGACATGCACATTATAGTTTGGTGAATTGCACTTTATATATTTATGATGTCACATCTTATCAAGGCTTGAATTTATTATGTATCATCACAGCACAGACACGAGAAAGAAAACCTTACAATCACTATGACTTCAGTAATCCAACTACATATGACACACCCCTAAAAACGTAGTGTAGTAATCGTTATTATGTGCACAATATCGTATTCACACTGCACGATATTTTGGTAAGGGCTGCACGGTATATAAACACAGCGCGCACTACATTATAACTCTCAATTTTATATTGTTGGTGATACTAATACTACTAATACCGATACTAATAATAATAATAATAATAATAATAATAATAATAACAATAGTATCAATTTAGATACACATATAAAATGACTTTGATATATGTGATACACGCGTAATGCACAATAGCAACTACGTGATTGCACAAATATGCACAAAAATATGCACATTTGTATTCCCCAGTAATCGTTCTGAAAAATACTTAACTGACAACAAAAAACGACACTGACCATATACACACATATACACACGGGTGACAATATGCGTCCATCAGTATCAACAGTAACCAATGCACATCACCTACAACTTTAAACGTTCGTAATTCTTCGTGTTACCAACACGAGTACTAATCCAGGAGCTTAGATACCCAAAAGTGTCAACAAAACAAGTACTAATCCACCAAAACGATTACTACTCAACCAATAGGAATCACCACATACACGATTCAACAAAATAAAAGCTAACGTTATCCACATAATACCAAAACGAGTACTAAGCCAACAGTTCGGCCACCCACACAATTCAACCATCAATCACAGTGACTTACGATTCTTCATCTCCAAATACAAAGGACGAAATTTCATCGCCTCCATGAGATTTGATTCTTTTATCTCGTTGTTCGGTGCACATGCTATGACACAACTGTATCTCTTCCTAATGAGCTTCAACTGTTCCTTGTCGCCTCTCTTAATCAGTGGACTCCAACTTTTGCCAAATCCACCTTTGAAGAATGTCTCCATATGACGCATCGTAATCACACCAACATCTGCCTCATCGACCCCCTCAGTCCAGGGTGCGCGGATGACATTGGGAACAGACAATGTGATTGATTTAGACCTCCCCACCAGGCTATTCTCACTTAGATACTTTGCAAGCGATTGCTTCTGTGGGGAAAAAAATAAATAAATAAAATAAAAAGAAAAAAGTGTTCATAACACAATAATCGAACTAATGTAATTACACCAATAGGAAGCATTACCAACAGCATGACACGAGACATGAACACTTTCTTCATACCGTCGTCTTTACAAGTACCAGCACTATTCAAAATACCGAGCTTTAGAAGATCCGGCGCAATGCACAATAAGCCCGAGAAAGCCTCCGAGTGCACAGGAAATAGAAACTGTATACATGAATATGAAAAAAGAACATAACAAATAAATAAATAAAAAATCATGAACATCGCAATATATTGTTCATAAATTTAATGAGTGCTAACAGGTATTCGCTTACCATCGATATCTTGTTTAATTTGTAAGTGGACATTCGTGCAATTTCCAAATCTAAAGTTTGAGCAAACTTTTTATAAATCAAGTCCTTCCTCCGTTTACCATGGTAAAATAGCTGCAATTGACAATGCCAAAATACAAAAACGAACATATCATGATCACGAATGCAAACATTTAAGGTATCATTAGCATAATGTACGATAATGTACCTCATTGCACGGGGACGTAGTTGCGTAAAAACATGCTGGCGTGGCACGACTTTTGAGCTTCTCGTTATAGTTCATAATGCACGACCACGCATCCAACAACTCTTTTGAAATGGGTGTATTTGGAAGCAAACATGAAACGACATGCTTCTTCACAGAATATTCAGAATATTTGGGATGTTGAAACAGGATGACGCCACTGATCGCATGTGTAACCATGCATACGTTATAAAGAAGAAACGCATATTAATTAAGCTTAGAATAATACACGTACGTACACAATTATAAATTACCAAAAAGTTTAATACCATAATACGTTGTAATGACGAAAAAAAAAAATCAATGAGAAGAAAACAGACAAACATACTCATCATGGACATCCTGCTTCAGTGTCCAATTAGCGATCATTCTCTCGTGCCCATCGAGCTTCTTAGTCACGTTAATTGTCCTCTCTATAAAAGGAGACTTGACTGCACTTGTCACCCTGGTACTCCTTTTCGGCCTCGGTGACCTGTCTGAATCACCTGCCTCTTCCGAAAAAAAAAAAAAAAATCAAAACATAGAAAACAATATGTTAATAAATAAATAAATATATACATGCGTGCGCGCTTGTGTGTGACTCAACACAACATCAACATCAACGATTACAATTAGTACATTAATAGTGCTATATATTACACGTTTATACCTGTAGTAACAAACTTATCGGGTTCCTGGCCAGAATCTTCAACAATCGCTGCCATGTCAGTCGTATTGTCAGACAATCCAACCGTGATTTCGCATATGAACAAACAAACATATTAAAACGCCACAACAATTATATATAACTAAACACGCCACGAACGATACATCTACATTGATGAAACAATTTACTTCACGTACCTTTTTGCACATCAACTTCTGTTTCCATCACAGCAGTCGGCTGTTTATATCCATAATCGCTCGTATGTCGATGTGTGTTGTCGGCAACACCATCGGCATCGTCATCTGAAGATAAGCCCAAGCTGAAACTAGGGACATCGCATTGCATTCTCTTGAAGCGATCCCGCTGCTCAACTGCTTTCATAATCTCATCTATCGCAGCTAACGTGTCAGAAGCATTCCAGAACGCGTCATCGGCTAGCTGTGATGCAACACCCTTCGCGTAGTCCTTCGATACATCATCTTTCTGGGCACATGTATCACGAGGCTGACTTGGACCGGGATGGCTGGGATTAACAGGTGGCACCTCAATATACACACCAAGAAGCTTCTGAGCGGCCTCGTGCATTTTCACAAAGTTCACATCTCCTAGAAGAACCTGCGGCGCCTTTTCAACCAACTGTAATATTTCAACTCCGGTGGTGGCGAGAAGGCGAGTTTTAGAAGCAAACTCCTGAACGTATGCCTGCACATTAAGTCATTTCGTTAATGCACGTTTCTGTCAATCATGATGCACAAATATACAACATATAGTGCACACTATGTTTTCGATGTTCCTCTGGCAGACTTTGATAATGCACAGTATGTATTTGGGAACATATAAAAAATATTAAACGACAAAAATAGTGGTCATGTCAATATGAAAACAAATTGCCGCATTCTTATAATATACACGATTCGTATATTAAAACACCGACTGCGTGTGTGTGATTGTGCACATTTAATCATATCATAATGCACAAATGTAAATATAATAATGCACATTATATATTTGTGGGTTTGACAAACAAACTTGTGATGCAACAAATACAAATAAAATCAACGATTGTGTATAAATGAGAAACGCAGCCAGGAGACACAGAAAAAAAAAAAAAAGGAAAAAGAAAGACAATCATTCGAACCGTACATCACTGTCTACCTGTACACAGTGGCCATCTGTCACACCAGCAACATCACTTACGCCATCGTATTTTAGTCCGCTTTTATCCAGCCGGCGACTATCGGCAAACAAACGGAAGTCTACATCCACAAAACCTCTACCAAAAGCTCCCGCATCAATCTCGTTGTGTTCTCTAGCTTTTAACGCCTCGTTGCTCCATGATCTAAACGCCGGGAATGTTCGTGTGACTGATCGCACAGACAGTACAACCTTGTCTACATAGAACAACTGTCCCACACACAAACAAACATACGATTACTCGATTAGTATGATAACATACAAACATATAAAACGAAGAAACAAATAGGAATAAAGGTAAGGGAAAAGAAATAAAAAAAAATGAAACAAAATGAATAAAGGATAAGTAGTGACTGACCGTCAAGAACAACAAAGGCCCTGTATACTTCTTTTGTTTACCGATTGAATCCCACAACCTCTTTGTTTCAACCAAGCATCGGATCATATAGGAGCACCAATTCATCTTGCTAACCACAGACAAGTCATCAAGCATGTGTACTAAACGGAAATTCGCCATTCCATTTAAACAACTCTCAAACAAACAGGACACCATGAGGACAATGAAATGTCGCTTGAACCAGTCCCCGCCATCCTCACATTCGTTCATCTTATCCAGCACCTTCGACGCCGTAATGTTCGTCGGTTGTCTGACGTCGAACAGTGCAATCCACTCATCCAACAGGTTAGATGTAACTCTCTTTTGTTTATTCTTAATTTCAACCTCTCCGCGAGGCAACCCAAACACAGCATACACGTCGTCTTCCTTAACGTGTAACTTCTCACTGCCATACAGCTGGAGCTTCCGGTCTAGGTGGTTGAAATTTTCTACTAACCAATATCCCATCTTTGATGGTGTTGCTGTTATGCTCAGCTCCAACAAGCACCCAAAACCCATCTCACGAACTGCGTTCTTCTTGACATCTGAAAGGCTGGATATCGCCTTCACGAATATAGCAGTTGAAGACCTCGTGCTCACTCTCAAGAACACGTCGTCATCATCGCTATCCACAACAATGTCAGATGCCTCTCCAACATCATGTTCGACTACAATATCGGTATCAGCCATTTTACTTTTACCCTTAACTACAAAATAACAAACAAAGATAATATCATCAAACGCCGACTGTGGTATGTAAATATATATATATATATATATATATATATATATATATATATATATAATTCCATACAAAGGTAGACACGTACCATTCCAGTTTTTTGTGATTTTTGGCAGGCAGCGTCGAGGCACGTCATCAACAAAATCATCGCTATCAATTTGGCTTGGTTTGCGTGCACCACATTTCGGACGCTTCGGCTTCGGGTGGTCACCGACACGCTCTGGATCAATAAGAGGTCTCTTTGATCCTGCGTCTGTACGACACACAAGGATTCATAACATTAATGTAAAGCACAAATATCATTAATAAAGTAGACTAACATTAGAATAACAATCTCATTAGTTCATAAATAATTACCGTCTTGTTTGTTATTATAGATATGAATATTTCATAAACAATTACCTTCTCGTGACTTATCAGACTTTGTGGACGTGACCCTTTGCTGTACCGAGGGCAGTTTTGTACGACGTGGAGTCACTAACAAGAAATGATAAACATTACAAATAATACAACATTAGGTCAAAGCAAAAAATGCATTATATCTGATAATATATATATATATATATATATACATTAAAAGCTATAACGTGCAACAGACTAAACACAACATACAGAACATTATAGAATGTACCTCCTTCACCATTCTCCATACCTCCTTCACCATTATGTTCGGGTACGACGTCCGTCTTCTTACGGGTAGTACCTGCACACAATGAAACATCGAGAGTACACCTCACAAACTTATTTGTGGAAGTTGTTATAAATAATCATAATAATGATAATGGGTTCAAACTTAAGCAAATCTGAATATAAGTGAAAATACACTCTAGGGTGTCATTGTGGGATTACCAGCTGAATGTCAAAATTATATAGTTGTTATAATTCTCTGTGTTTCTTATTTTTTTCAGATTATTTAATGAATCACGAGCAAATATTGTATATTGGTTGAGGTACTAGAGCAGAGAAAAATAAAAATCGAGTAAAATATGCGGGAAACTTCCTGATACAACAAAAAAATAAACAAACATGAAACACCTACTACTTACACTAAATTTTGCGATAATCACCAGAAACAGACGAACCGTAATTTTATTTTTTTTTTTATTAAAATACAAATATTTTTTTTTCTTTCTATATACGATGACGCATCTAATAAGCTGCATAATCGACATGAACTTGAAGAAGAATCTTACCTCTTTTCCTCGTTTGCGGAGTATTTCCCATACTCTCGTCCGTTAATCTCTCTCCGAATTTTCCACGAACAGTTGGCTCTAAAATGAACAAAATATAGATGTTATCACCACAAAACTTCAGATAAAGTATGGTATATGCACGCTTAAACTCACTTTGATTTCCGATGAGAATTTGAGCTCAATCGACCCTCGAAAGATGTGAAACCGTCGCCGTTACCCAACGAGCTCGCCCATGTCTGACCTAGAATGTAAATGCAATTAATGGGTCCGAAAATTCGACCTTTACCCTCTGCTAGTGTGACGAAAGACAACAATGCCCTCAAGCATCGTAATTTGTCCGTAAAAATTGAGATATTTACGACTATGCCACCGCGTAGTCAGTCAGTGATTAAAAATGGTTGACTGTATCTCAGCCCTCGATTTAATAGATCCAGTGGTGCACAATTGTTCTCATTTCTTTTATTATACCCCATTCTTATTTGTTTTTTCCCGTAAAAGAATCCAAATTCTTTTACGGGAAAAAAAAAACAAGACAAGTGGTGGACAAAAAAAGAAAAAGAAGAAAGGGGGTGGACCAAAATGAAAAGGGCGTATTCACTGAATACGTTTTTGCAATTTTTTATTTGTAAAACGTATTCCGTGAATACGGTTTCCTTTGTAAAAAAAATGTAAAAAACGTATTCCTTAAATACGTTTTTTAATTAAATTACACAAAAAACGTATTTACGAAATACGTGCTTTCTATTTTGGTCCACTCCCCCCTTTTTTCTTTGTTTTTTGTCCACTTATTATTTTTTTATTAATAAATATATAAACTGCTCTTCTTATTTGATCCAAATTCTATATATATATATATAGGGAAGGGTTCTAATAAGAACTACCTCTAGTGTAAGAACTAGGAACCAATCCTAGCCTTCAAATCTATAATTATTAGCGCTTGAGATTATGTTTAGTATATTAAGAATTTAATTACGCTAACTAATAAGTAAAGTAGGGACAAATTAGAAAAGCAGGAAATCTCCTCTTTTATTGCAACCCATATTTTATGGAAATTAAATTGTCATAAAGATGGTAACATTGACCAACAAAATTTTATACCCAACAATGAAAAATTGTTATGCACATTTTATTATATGATGATGCTAATTTCAAATACACGTGACACTAGCTTTAAAAATATGTACCATGAAGTTGAAAATTAATTTTGCTAGTAGTGGAAGTATAAGCATATAGCATATCAATTGTCCTAGTAGATCACTGTAATTGCATGAAGATTGTATCTATGCGAGTTAGTAATTTGATGAATGTCAACGACGTTATAGTCTATCTGGTAAATTGTGAGGGACTCTGTGCTATTATATTAATAATTTAGTGCTATTATTAATAGAGATTATTGCTATAATTAAAAAAAAAGAGTACTATAT